AGACAATATATACACAAAATAATTTTCGGGCAGAGCTATAATACAAAGTCAATGCATCTACCTAAAAACCAGCCCACGCCAATAGCAAATGAAATGAGAAAGTTTGTTTTGTTGACAATCGTCTAGCTGTGGGATAAAACATTTTAAGAATTTCGGCGTTTTCACAATTTCCGGTAACACATTTTTCTATGCCCTATATGTATGTAATTTTTGTTTGAAAATATGGAATCAGCGTACATACTAACTTTTCGAAGACTATCTAAGTTTGATTTTATGACTTTACAACTTAAGCGGTTCTATTAAAATACCTTTCGTTTGCATTGCTTGATGTCTAAGCCCATGCGTAGAAACATAAATTAAATGCTTATATACCTTCTCGGCTACATAACGTTACCTTAACGTAGAAAGGGTCTATCTAATAGTTGATTTCCACCAAGCCTTAACTGCAGTTTATGTCGTTTGAAAAAAAACGGAGGTTACAACTCGACGGGGGTAATTCCACCTATTAAGTAGAAGCAAACGAAAGGAAAAAAGCAAAACTTAATAAAAAAATATTGCCGATGACGCCATGTTGGAATTATTTGAACTTCTCTGAGCTCTTAACTGCAGTTAAGCCTTTGGAGGAAATAGGCTATAACAGTTTTCTTTCTTTACAGAGTAGTTATAAAACCAACTTAAGTTCTTCAGTTGCGATTTGCTTCATTACATTGGTTTTCAATTAACATAGTAACTAATTTTTTTGATGTATGTATGCAAGTAGTAGCTGATTTTGAATTCGTTGAAGTCTTTAATGAGTAATCTATCGACTTTTGCGCAGAACTAAATTTCAAAAGAAAATGAGTTAGGGCCTTTCTATATTAAGTTAATGATATTTAACGACAAAATTTTCAGTTCTGCAGCTGTATTATTTTTTTATTACAATGCACACAAATATACATTACAAACAAGTACCAAATATGTGAGAGAACGATCTGTTGGCAACAAATCTTTGTGGTACATAGATAAATAGACTTCAAAGAAACAAGCAAATCATAGAGAATTCAAAATCAAGGCAAGAAGTGAAAACCAACTAAAAATGTAATAACTAGCAAACGACCAACTTTTGACCTCTCTGAACTTGGCAGGACAACTTTTTCTCAAAGCAAAAATTCCTATCGCATAATTTACCGTTAATTATCCGTAAATTATCCGTGAAAAGAATAATTTTGCCGCGGACATATTTTAAAAAATATCGAGTGCCCTGCTAACTTCCGTGGAAGTTAGCAGGGCACCTTCTGAAAACCTATAAAGTAAACCAGCTAAACCCAAACAAACTATCTGATAATTTGCCGTAAATTATCCGTTGTTTATCCGTGAAAAGAATTATTTTGCCGCGGAAACATTTAAAAAAATATCGCGTGCCCTGCTAACTTCCGTGGAAGTTAGCAGGGCA